TGTAGCTGCCTCGAGGATGCTTGACCAATTTAACACAACGTGGTGCGATCATCCCCCTTGCGCGGAGTGAGGTTTCTCCACCCCGCACAACATAATCTACTCGACCACAGTTGGGTTACCGCAAAAAAAGACAAAACAAGGGCAAAAAAAAAAAACGGTAACCTGGTTGCCGAGCTCACGACGTGATCGGCTTGTTACACAACGTCGTTGCCAAGCGACCAAAACCCCACCCCGATGAAAAACACCGGGGGGGGGGATTTGCATACGGACGACAGCCTACGGATGACAGCTGCGAATGAGTTGTTGTGTGTTCTGGTGCTTCGGGAGGGGGGGGGGAGCTGTAACGTGGGAAAATCGTACAGAGGAGTGAGGATGCCAAAGGTAAAGGTTTTAGTCGCATGGCAAGCCGTGGGGCCATGGGGCCACGAAAGCATGAAAAAGCACCCACCCCAACGATGAAGCTGTCGAGATCTGGAGGCAGCTTCCCGTTGGTGGAGAGGAAATAAGCCTCCACTCCTATCGCACACCCACAGGCCACCAAGAACAGCAAGCACACCGCGAAGCCCGCGATGAAGACCCTCTCCATCACCAGTTGCGTCTCAGGTGGGATGAGCTTTGTGGAATAGTTTTTACAGGTCGCGGACGGGATGGATCGGTGGAACGAAGCGACCAAGCACGATTGGACGGGAGGGAGCACAGGGCACAGAGCCACACAACGGCAGCCGGACGGGCGACAAAAAAACACCAGACAAAATAGACAAACAAGAGACAAAATAGACAAAATAGACAAAATAGACAAAATAGACAAAATAGACAAAATAGACAAAATAGACAAAATAGACAAATAAACAGACAGACAGACAGACAAAAAGACGGGCAAAAACGACAGTCAGAGGACATTGGCGAACAAGCTATTGCCAAGTGGCCTGCTGTGTCTAACTCAAAAAACATGCACGAGATATACGGCGATATTGAGAGACGCCAGACATACAGACGGACAGGCCATCAAGGGTCAAGAGGCTTCCATGTCAACCAACTTGGTTTTTCAAACCAAAGACTCTGAAGCATGCCAAAACGTTGACAGCAAATAGCCATCCCAACAACAACCAACGCACGTCTTCGACAGCAGGACATACGCTAGCTACGACCTTTTTCGTGGGGTACCGGTGTCGACGATCAGCACTGCTGGGAATAGTGATGGTCTGCTCTGACATTTCTTGCAGTACCCTCCGAAAACGACGCTCTCAGACGACTCCAGATCAACAACAAACCCGCACGCACAGCATACATTACAACTTTCCAACGCACTCACATCGAAAATGGAGGTAATTTGCTGGCCCACGCTTTTGTTTTCCTTGTCCTCCTCCGCCTTCGCCGCCCGAACCTGACCGATGCTCTTCACGCCCATTTTTCTCAAAGTCTCTTCGATCTTCGCCTCCCTCGCGTCGTCACTTCCGATCACACCGTCTTCCAGAATCTCACCTGCAAAAAGCAAAACACCGACAAACAAAACAAAGTACAGTACGAAAAATAAAAATAAAATAATCGAGAGCACGAGCACCCGTGGCAGCGTCAGCAGCGTCAGCAGGAGCAGGAGCAGCAACGACGTATGCAAAAGGACCAAAGACGCAATTCCTGCTCGACCAACGCACACTCAAGTGACGAGTCTGTACAGCAGTATGCATGCTCTTTGGATGGAGAACTCCAGGCGAGGTGCATCGAGATCGACCCACGCCAACAACGCGGCGTGCCGGTGATGGGCCATGAGTCATGGGTGACGCTTGTGCTGGGTGGCCGAAAAAAGGCGACAGAGGATCGAAACCTCAGGTCGTCACTCGCGAGGAAGGAGCACGTACAGGGGTTAGGTTTGATATCTCCATCTCACGTCGCGTACAGGAGCACCGGAAACCACTTGACTCCGACCCAAATCGGAAAACACGCACAACACGCGGACCTCGTTTCGCCGTCTTGACGTCAGCGAATCCTCCACCGCTCGCCATCATTGGTGCGCCCGCGTCTTCGAACTCATCGTCCTCCGAAGAGGATGCAGGCACCGCCCTCGTGTTAACCGTCGCGGCACCTCCCGCACCCTGTGCGAACACAATACAAACACCAAGGTGCCTGTTGAGTGCTAACGGCGTACGCCGTACGATGTGTTGCGTCCAAAACGCTGCGACGCCCGAGTGCAGCAGTATCCCGTGGCGCGTAAACTCGACAATACTCGTGAGCGATGCCATAAACAGCAGTACAATTGCAGAATTCAGCATTTTTTGCACCAAGCGCACAGAAATGTCTGTCTACTAGTGGGCCCCGTGCGAAGAGACACGCGCGGTAGTTTAGCACGGTGGTGTGATAATGTATAGAAATACTTCCAAGTATTTCTAAAGCTATACTTGTACCGGAAGACTTTGGTATTGCCTACCGCCGAATGTTGGATAAGGTAAATTTGTACGGTGGACAGGTCTCAAGCTTTTTATCTACCGCTATAGTCTTGCGGCCACCCTGCCCGAGCACTTCAGTACAGATGCGGCACACAGCACCCCTCGCATGTATGTACAGGACACCGAGTATCATTGTTATTCAAACTAGCGTACAGGGTATGCTTACCTCGGCAGCTGCCGCCTTCTTTTTCTTCCGCTTGGAACCACCCGACCCGCCTTTTTTCGCCATGCTCAGTGCAGACACGGCTCGCCTGTGGTTCGCGGCCTTTCTCATTCCCATTCCCAGGTCAGCCAGTCAGTCGCCATTCATCACCGTATGCGGCAAGAGGATAAATACGCAACAGTGAAGAGTGAGCAGCTGGCATAGCACTCCATGACACGGTTGCGCTGGCTTGGCGTACTTCTGTAGTCGTGGTGGTGCGTGTTTATGTGCTGTGTGTTGTTGTCGGCCGGAATTCTCAAACCACGATCCAGTCCACGCTACAATGGTAGCCTGCAATTCTCGATCACACTAGATATCGATCGCGGTCGCATAGCAGCCCATGCATCTACAGTGAATTGCCCTCGAATCTACGTTCGAACACGTACACATAAGGTGATCTCGGGAGATACAACGCTAGTACGCGACCAAGGCCGCACGCTAGGCAGGAGCCTAATGGGCTCGTTCATTGCAAAGGTAGCAGCACGGCCTTCTGTTAGTCTGTTAGACTACAGGAGAGATGAGCGGTGAAGACCAAAGACACATGCCATAACAGGGCTTAGAAATCACACCAAAAATAGCTGCCGTAAAACGATTTCGTGTCACTTGTAGAAGTACATATGGGTTATACGTGAAACATGCGGCTGCTTTCGGCACGATGATACATCTATGTGTGTAAACCACCCATGACGCCAAACACCACACACCCTGGAGGAACCGCACCTGGTGCAAGCACATACGTGACAAATTTACTCGAAAATCCCTTGTCCCTTAGTCTCAATGGCGTCAATAAGTGTCGACCTCTTAGTTGTGATGGAGCGAGAGAGCTACACAAATAAATCACAACTAAAGGAGGTGGCAGAAGCGGGAAATGAATGTAGGCCGCAGCGGCCGGGATATCGGTAAAGCGTACCAGTAGGTACAACGAGATGAAGCTGTGTCTGTTGGTTGTGTTACGACCTACGACCTACCCCTCTCAGCGACTCGATAACCCATGGTTGACAAGTTGACATGTTGACATGCCGGTCGGTGTTCCTCTCGGTGAATCCCTTTTGAATCCCTTTGCTTTACCGCGTGTGTCCGCAGGCTGGCTGTACAACAGAGAGACCGAGCTGTGTTCATGTTCCCAACTTGATTTGACCCTTCAACCAAGACACCTACTGGGGGCGATATGAAAACCAGAGTCGATGCCATTGCGCCTCCGTAGCAGGTCGAGGCTATCAGCTGCAACATGAGCATACAGAACAAAGATGATCCTGGATTCTATGGAAAGTGTCGTGTGGCATCATGGTACGCTCTGACACCACAGCTGACAGCACACCACGCTTCAATGTGTGTGCTCACATGATGAACAGGGGACGCTCTCAGCGACATCCTTTGCTGCAGGACAGCGGGATGGACGAACGCCGTGCATTGCTGAAGCACCAACACCGACAAGCAGGCCAAGAGCATCATCTTTCTTCCGATTCTTCCCGGCCTTCCTCCCAAATTCCTCCTTTCCTCTCCTCCCATGACAGGTGTGAGCACAGCAACAACACCCGGCGCCTGAGTCGGTTTTTGTTTGGCACGCAAGGGGGGTCCGCCATTAGGAACATTTCCCTCTCCCTTCATGGACGGGCCACCTGTCACCATCCCGGGATCTCCCAATCTACGACAAATCTACGATGAAGGTTACACCGCATATTGTTGTTGCATGGCCATGGGATGGGCCATTGCTCCATCGCCTGGGCCATTGCTACCAAGCTGCGCTGCTGTGATGCCGATCGTTCCGGGAGCCAGCTTGACAAAGAGAAGTATTCCTGTGAGTGTGTGGAGGGGATCTTGTCGAACGGGTTCTATTGGGAGATAAAGAAGGCACAGTCCTTGTTATCATCAATCGATGGTACAATGTAGTCTAGGTCTCCAACCGCCGGTGTCTCGTGCTCGTGCTGTCACAGTCCCACCTCTCCGCTTGTTGTTCGATGGCCAACTACAGGTATACGGTACACGGTATGCTACTAGAGCATCGCACGCGTATTCGTGGAGGCGTGAAAAACACAGCGCACCTGTTTTCCTCCTCACCGCCTCACCTCCGATTTCGTGCCATCGCTGTACAGCAGTTGCTGCTGCAGCTCCTTGTTTCTCTCTTCGTCGCATGCCAATGCACTTCAAAGTACCAGTAGACGAACGGATGGAGTGCTTCTGCAGATGCGAGCAGGGATGCCCAGCAGGATGCAGTGGGCAGAATACAGCACGAAGTTATGTATTTTTTCACATGTATTTTTTCATCATATTTCCATGCGTTGCAGTCACTTTGGGTGGCAACGTACTTCGTACCCAACATGCCAACGCGTTTTGCCCAACATAGGTTGTTCAGGAGAAGACGGGTGCAGGACAGCAGGTGCAGGGGTCATCATCATCAGCAGCAACATCATCATCAGCAGCATCAGCAGCATCAGCAGCATCAGCACCAGCATCAGCATCGTCCTTAACGCCATCGTCGTTGTTACCGTCATCATCGTCGGCATCGCGTAAAGCCCCGAAGAGTAAGTCGGTGTGGCGGTTGGCACTATAGACGATCGCTTATGATCCAGCTGGTTTTTTTTAAGAGGAGATCTACCAACGCCCCCGCGCCCTTCCAAACCAGTCTACTCGGGTTGATCAGTAGAAATTAGGGTAGTAGTAGGATGGGTACTCTCATTACCCTAGCGGTCTCAACATTGCCACCCTGCTGTACTGTAGGACCAACACTCTCCGCGATTGGTAGCCGGGAGGCTTGCAGCTTGCTCCAAACAGAGTCACAGCAATGAACGATTTCCCGCCGCGGCACACTTCATGTTCTTGCTGGAGCCCTGCGGAGGTATAGACTGCACGCTACCCAGACACAGACCAGACTGTGGTGGAGAGACATACCCCCTCCATGTGTCGAGTAGGAATGAGACCGGTAGAATACTGTCGGGTGCATTGCCGCTACCATTGCCCATATGCTTCGCTCCGTATCACAGAGTATGGCAACACAACGAGAGTATTCTTGAATTCTGCAAGTACAGGCTACTGAAGAGCATAGCACATCTTGTTTTTGCATAGCGTTTAACTAGATACAATTTGATGTACTCGGAATAGTTTTCTGGGCTACAGCTTTGTCAAAGTCTCCTTCCTCACAACGATGTGTGGAAGACTCCTGGCTCGGAGCATTGAGGTTCGTGAGTCTTTCCCACTTTTCTTTGGTTTCAAAGGGTGTAATCGTTGCTTCACAAAGCGAAAGCAACTCTTCTTGCCCGGCAGTAACTTTCTCTTCTTCGTCCCCCTGTCTCCTCCTCTGAGAACCCAACCAGCTGTGATATTGTCCGCGTGTAGCTAGCTTTTGAGGCCAAGTCGCTGGATGTTCGGGACGTTTCCGGGTTGTGTCGCCGTCGTTCGAGGAACGCGACGCGGCGGCGCGGTACGCATGCGTGCATGTGAATGTACTCAGGCTCCCGTGCGAATTTGACCCTCTGTTATGTGTTTGGTGCAACCGCCACCGCCAGCAGAAAATACTTCTTCACTGTCATCCGCGACACCACCGTCATCATCTACAGCTGTAGATGGCGGTCGACAGTGGACAGAAGACGTGAAGGGCATGAAAGGGGGTAAGTCGACACAAGAGCGTTGGGATCAGATGGCATAACGCCGGATGATACCCCAGGCTCAGTATGAAGTTTGTATTGCAGTGTTGGACTCCATGTGACATGCGGTAGCGCGAATTGCACGAGCGTTAAGCAGTGTCCGAGCTGCTGGTTCTTGTTTGGTTGACACGGTATCTTGGCACAGGTACAGTAGTACACTCCAGACGTACCGTTAACTAGCAACGTCCCACAATTTCGCTGCGCTGCTCGCCGTTTTAGCATGTAGCATGATGAAAGCGCGATTTCTTGACCTCCATCGAAAGCTTTCCTCGGAATCGTTAAAACGCTTTTCAGCCCCCCCTTTCATTTCCATCCGGTTGCGCCTGTATAACACCGTTAGACTACTTTCATGGTACGGTATCGTCGCCACCCTTCTCACGGGAAACCGCACAGGACCACTAGACCAATTGAATGGAGGATGCCTGAGATATGGTACTGTTCTACATCGGGCAACATGGCGTCGTTTTGCTGTTGTCTGGAGAAAGGGTGTGTCATCATTAGGTAGCAACGGTGCCTTCCATTGTGAAAATGGAAAATAGTCCCGCACAGCTGTCACGAGACGAATTTGTTGTCGCGGGCCGAGGAAATACCGTAGCCGCTCCGCAAGCGTCAATTGACTACAGTGCATGCAAGAGGTTCACAATTACGGCAACGCGAACGCCGAACAACACCGACTCGACAGCGATGGAATCGCGAACCAGCACACCGCGTGAAAAGGCCTCCAAACACAAGCTGACGTCGGAACTTGAGCGAGTTGGCGCGACTCGAAGGGCGTGCCGACAGCTCGGTCGCTTCGACCTACTACGGTAGCTGATCACCCAGACAGTCCCAAACGTTCCCGCACGAATGAAGATCTCAACTAAAACAAGACAAGTTGCGAAACTGATGACGATTTTCTACAGGAACACCGGCATGGGAGGTGTGATACCATGATTCGTTATTGAACAGCCTAACATACAACGAGCTGAAACGCGGGTGTGATGTGCCTCGAATGACATCACGCCACATCCTTTCTGCGGTGATCGCCGACTGTTTCGGGATATGTATGTATGTCGCGGCTGCTACTTCAGGCAAGTACAGCAACACTGAGTCCAAGATTGTGGTTGATGCGATCAAGAGCTATGCCTCCGCCAACGCCATCACCGTTGACGTGAGTATTGGGGGGGGGGGGGGGGGGGGGAAGGAAGGGGAAAAAAAAAGTTAAAGGCAAGGTTTTTCCCGGGGGGACCCGAAACTTCCCCCTGAATGGGGGGCCCTTTGGAACCCCACCCAATTCCGGGAGGGGAAAAAAAAATTAAGGGGGGGGGGGGGGGGTGGCCCAAAAACTTAAAAACCCCCTTTTTTTTTAAAAAAGCAAGGGGCAAGGATTTTTCCCCCAAATTGTTTAAAAAAAAAAACAACTCCAAAGGCCCGCAAAAATGTTTGTCCCCCAGGCCGGACCCGGGCAAAAAACGGGGCAAAAAACGGAAGGTTTTTGGGCCCCCCCCACAATTGGGCAAGGCGAAAAATTTCCGGTGTCCTTGGGTTTTTGGGCGGGGGTTTCTCTTGGGCTTTTCCCACCCCCCATCCCTTCAAGGTCAAAAAAGGGGACCAAAAAAATTT